GCAAGGGAAGGCCTTCCCTTGCGAAAGCTGGGCCGCCGACACCCACCCGAAGCCTCCCAAGTCCCACCACTGGGGCTTAGTTGCTTACCTGAGGGGGAAGCAGCAAGCTCCTGGAAGGCGAAGGCTGAAGGGAATTTTCAAATGGAGGTCAAGCGCAAAGCTTTTAAATGCTTCGCTTTGCCTCCAGCCCACTCACTGATTGGCTGGACTCCAGCCAATCAGTGAGCGGCAGGCTGGGCTTAGTGCGGACAGGCAGGGGAGCGAGCGAGCTGTGACGCCTTGGCATAAGGGTGCTTTGCAGCGGCAGGGGCCAGGACCAGTACCGGCATTCCTGGAAATTAATTACTTCCGGGTTCACCAACCAACCGGTCCACCCGAACCGGGGCGAACCGGGAGGAACCCACCCCTGTCTAGTCCCTATTTATTAGTGCATACAATATGGTAAGCGCGTGCGTGCAGCTCCACTTTGCCCCAAAGGTTTTCTTTCTTGGGTGAATGGAGCGGCACATGTGTGTTGCCCCACCACTCATGCAGCCCAGTTCCCCTCTCCTCCCACCCACATGCCGGGCTGACAAACCGCCTGCTCCTGATACTCCAAAAGGGGAGTGGTGGCATCAGAGGCTGAGTGGGACGAGCGAACTCTGGTCAGCTTCACTGACACTCACCAAGACTGCCTGCGCAGGACACCCAGTCCGCTTTTGGACAGCCTGGTGAGTCTGAAGGAATACAAGACCACATCCCCAAAGGCTTCTCCGTGCCACAATCTCTTGCAAATGAATGAAAGGCTTGTGGGGAGAGGGGCGATCTCACACTGCTTCAGGCCTTCCATCCCTTTGGTTTTATTGGTAAAGTAAACAGAAAATTCTTGTTAATAGGCAAACCAATAACCTTAATCATGATCAAAGAATTTTCAATACCAAAATAATGCTTAATTCCAATTAGATTATTGCATTTGGCAAAAGCAGAATGTAAAGAGGGTTAAACTTTGATATTGAAGAAGATTGCTGAGAATGCCATGGATAATTAAGACAATAAACAATAAATGGATCCTAGAACAAATCAATGCATAATTAATTAATTCATTCTCTCTGTTTCTTTCTATTTTTATTAAAGTACTTTTAACAAAATAAAAACAATGCAAATATTAAAGAAGAAAATAAAGAAGAATGGTGAATAAGTAAAAAAGAAAAAAAGAATTGTTTCTAATCTTTTTGAAAGCAGTTATAAATTTATATTTGTGGGAAGAAAAATCTGGTCTGGTTCCAAGCCAGGAGAAAGATGCTAGAAATAAAATTGAAGCTGACTGGTTGGAAAGAAAGTTTCTGTTTATTTGGTTTCCAGGACCAAATAACAGTGACAACAGCATGTTTCTGGGTTGGCTGAGTGGATGGATCTTTATAGAGTTTTGGAGGTTTGTGATTCCATTGTTCTTATTAACAATAAGAGAAATAAAAGTAATAATAAATAAATTATTTATTTATAATTATATAACAAAATGATATAACAAAAATATTAAAAAATTATAAAACCAAAGAATGTTGAATTTGCAAATAGGTCAGATAAATGATTGGCATATAAATTGAGGGAAGAAAAAGAGAAAAAATGATATTAAAATTAAAGGTGAAAACACCATGAAAACAGATAATTCAAAGATGCAAAGATATTTTACCAATATTACTCTTTTTAAAATATATTTTATTAAAGGTTTTACAGAGAACATAACAAACAGAAACTATTACAGGGAGGCAGGGAGGAAGAGATATAAGTAATAAGAATAAGAATAATATGTGGGATGTCCTCTTTCCAGATTAAAATATTCTTTATTCTGAATATTAAAAAGGCAGAATATTATATTTTCCCAAAGAGAAATATCTTAACAAAGGCAGAAAACAGCCCCAGTATTTCTGCAATAGGAAAACATCTTCAATCCAAAAAGCTTGAAGAGGCTGATCTTTAGGAATGCAGATTTTGTATCCATTCAGGAAGAGTTGATGGAATTGATGGAATTAATGGAATTAAAATCTACATTCCCCCACCCAAATTCTAAGGACAGGACATGTCCTTAGGACATAATCGGATTAATCCACCACTACTGAAATAGTAAAAGGCACAAGGTTTACTACATTGCACAACCTCCTGTTTTCATGGTGTTT